GGTAATGAGATCTGGATTAAAGGTTATTAGTGTCTAATCAATTAAATTAATACATTTTAAACACAATTTCTAAAATTTCTCTTGTTTTTTTGTAAATACAACTTATGATTATTTAACTCATTGTATATTATTCAATTTAAAATTTAGAATATAATACTTTCAATAATTAATTAAAATCTTAATTTGAATTAAAAATTTATTTTCAAGTCTAATGAACAAAAAAATATTAAGATACTTTACTTTCCTTAAATGAGTATACATGTAATATACGAGTAGGTAGGCATCTATAATAATTAATTTCGTTTTATAAAATTAAGTTTATTTTAAGTGTTATTGTAATTAAAACACAATTTGTATACATTATTTCTTTGAAATTTGAAATTCAATTGATATATGGGTAATGTTGACAAAAAATGATTATTTTAAAAATGTTTTTGAGTACATATACCTAAACATATAATTATACGTGAAATATATAAATTAAAAATTTAATAGATTTATTTACAACTTTGTATATTATACCTCTAAAAGTTAAAAAGAAAAAAAAACTGATCTTAATAATTTAATACTTGAAAAAATATGTCATTTGGCGCATTTTATGTTGGTCTGGCCTCGGTATACCTTATTCAACTTAGCTTTAAACACTTATATATAACAGGTATATTAATATTATACTTTGACGCGTCATCATTGCGTTGTGTTATTCAACTAAGAGTCACCTGCTACAACTCATTGTTTTTACGTGGTTTAGTTTTGCTTGTGTGCAACTTATGCATACTCCCACGCCGTTTTATATAGGTACTATGAAATTATCCGTTACCCAGCAGCCACGGAAACGGTGGCATATCCTAAGATTTGTTGGTTTGGGTAAAAAATGTCGTTGCCCTTGACGGTTTATGTTCTCTCCAGTAACTAATAAGGTACCTCTACCGTTGCGGGTTGCTCGAGTAGAATGCAATCGTTACTGGTGTTTTACATGAGTGCAGCACTCAAGGTCGTTCTCACGCACGCGGGAACACGTGCCGTAAACACGTCTTTAAGGTGTAATTATTATATTAAAACGTTTAATAGAGGAAATGTTATCGCGTGAGTGTGATGTGTTATGTGCATAATAGAAAATAGTGTATTTAAAACGGTTTTGGTACGAAAACAAAAGTTAATTTTCTTTTTTGATGAAAAATATATATTTTAATATTTTTAATATGTGTTATATATATAGTCCACTGATGCAATCAATGGGTCCATTCATAGTCTATCTTCACTTTCCTTAGATTGTATTTGATTTTTTGAATTTTTCGTATAGGTAATCATATCAAATTATATATTTTATAGTTTTATATAATAAGTATTTATGTAAAATGTAAATTGTAGCCATAATGTTTAAAAATAAAATAATAATTATAATATAATATAATATGTAAAAAATAAAAATAACTAAGCACAATATTATATTATATTATTTTCTCCACCGGAAAATGCAGGTTGCGCTACCATGACGGCAAATTATCAGCCAATACTTTGTAATCCATCGTCATCATTTGCATCAATAACATTCAATATAATAGTATTCAAATTATTTTTAAAAAATGTATACACTTTGAAAACCTGTGTTTTGAAACCTTTGAAGGAATATTATTATTATCGAGTGTTTAGCGTCCGCATAGTGCAATGGTCGGACTTTCCTTAGCGACCGTGTTGTGAACTGTTACCCTGCGTGTCATCACACACACATTATATTATTTATAAACACAGTTATCCCCAAAAATCGATGTGAAGTATAAGGATTTTATATTTATTGTACTATTTCATTAGTCATTATAGTATACATTATACATTATACACGTTGTTGATGTTATATTTTATTTAATATTTCGTTTTTACTGCTTACAGTTAATATACAAGTTTATTTAAACTAGAAGTTTAAGGTAAATATTAATATTTGAACAATCATGATGTACGTTATACAGTATTATAGTGTATATACTATAAAGATATTACATGGTTAAATTTTAAAAGTCTATACTTGTAAATATTTTATTTTTGTATCAGTACTGATAATTTAATAAACTTGTAAGGTTTTAGTCAACAGTGGACATTTCGACTCTTGCTTAGTCCATTTAAAGTAAAATATAATTTGTCACGACATTAGCTCTGCTATTTTAGCCAAATATGCGTGTTGTTACATGAATGTAAACATGAAAAACCCTTGAAACGTTTTATACTTCGAAATTGTTTTATTTTATGAGATAAACATCACACATTTTTGTGAAATACTTATACATTTTAATGGACTACTATGATTTATAATATTGTAGTGGATGTTTGATGTTTGTATTATATTATTTATATACGCCTAGGTATGTGCATGTTTCTACTTGATAATATCAATTGAAGTGAGCTGTTAGTGTATAATTTAATTTGGATTTATAGATAATAGATTGACCTGTAAAAATTTCATCAAATGATAATTATATATTTATTTCCATTAAATACTTATATAAATAATAAAAGCAAAATGATTTATTGAATTATATGAATATATGTGACATATATAATTAATGAACGATACAATTAAAATAATAATAATAATAATAATATATTTGTATATCGTTTTCTTTTTTTTTAACGTTGCAGAAAATGTAGTATGACATTAACGTTTATAAAATTGGTTATGGGTGTATTATGATTTTGGTCAAGGTATACTAGGACCTACTTGTTTACAATATCTAGTTTTTAATTTTTTTTATAACAATACTATACTCACTAAATTAGACATTTCATAAGGCTTTTTAATGTTTTATAAAAAATGACTATACTTGAGTCTAAATAAAATTTAAGATTGTTTATTTTATTCGTGTAAATGGTAAAACTAAAATGTCTTGATGTGGAGTTATCGGAACAATAGAAAAACTATGAATAATGACGTGTTCTGTCATCAACAAAGAGTTTATCTCGAGAATACTAATGTAAATACTCGGTTTATGTGTGAAAGGTATCTATTATAATATGATACTTTGCCAATGCCAAGCCATTATACACCATGTATTACAAAATTTAATAATATACCTCAATACGTACTTCCAAACTGTACAAAATATTTTATATTTTTAATTGTAGTTGCTAAACACGTAACAAAAGATTGAAATAAAACATATTGCGTTTATATACTAGTAGTATATATGAAATAAGACTACAATACATGATTATTACGCAGATATGAATAATGTTAACATTTCAGTCAAATAAATAATGTGAAGAAATGAAGAATGACTACGGGTTTTATTTAATTTCCAACCATCATTATACTTTGGTTTTATATGCTAGTGAAAAAATGTTAATATAAATTTGAATTTCTACGTATAAATCTTCACCTATACGTTCCTATTAGTAGTAACATTGAAACAATTTTTGAATGTAATAATACAGTTGACTGCTATTATTAAAAGATAAAAAAAATCGCGTATCGATCATGTCTATATGCTTTGACATTTATTGATTTATTTCATCTTAAAGTGTTTCGGGAGAGTATCTCTGATGAATACTCTCGTAGTCCAGTTATAGACAATTATTTTTCTCTTTACGCTCTAAAAATTAAAGAATTCTACTAGATCTACCATTGGATAACCCTACTTTTTTCGGTTTGAATGTTTCGCTTGTGTGTGTACATATTCATGAATAATACTGGTACGATGACGAATCAACAAGGCTAGAGTACTAGAATGACAGTTGGACTCATTAAATTTTAATTATTTAATCAGTTAAAGAAAATAATTGTATATTGCATTTTACATTATAAAGGTAGGTATTAATGTTTTAAGAATAATTAGATATTATAACTAAAACTCGTTTAAGAAATAATTAAAGTTGAGTTGGTTATTTATAAATGTAGGTGAAATACCTAAGCACATTTTTAATCATAACAAAATTAATGATTTAGGCAATAAAAATGATGTAAATTATTTATAACTATAGCCAAATAATACATTAATTTGAATATTTTGCTTTTTGGACGTAGTTGAAAGTGAACATTTTAAATAATATAATATCATTAACTACCTTAATACACCGGAAAATACTAAAAATAAATTTGAAAACTTATAGATATTACTTATTAGTTATTATTATTAGGTATGAGAGTATTTTTTAATAACAGTTGTTATAATATATTATTGTGTTATGAAAATAGTTAACTTAAATAACATATTCCCTCTAAAAATATATCCAACATTTTTTTAACGATAACTACATTACTTTATATTGTTTAAAATATTGTATCACAAATATTTGTGTTATAATATCATTAATATGTGTTTTGTCTAATTCAATTGTTAAAATTTTATTCGATCCGTACATTTATGACAAAATTTAACAAAATGAGGCGTGTTAGCTTCCGGCAATGTGTTGTATGTTACATGATTTAAATTGCGGACGTTTGACTAATGTATTAACCAGGGTCAATTGAATAGCATTGAAATAGTTTTTCATTATTATTTTAGACTGTTTTATTTCCGATATATATTTTAAGTGAATACTTTTTATCAAAATATATTTATTTTTTTTATCACAAGGTCTTATTTTTACAAATTATATTTTATGTTAAATATGAATTTATATAATTTTTTTTATATAAATCCGCTATATAAGTAGCTATGACAGTTTGGTTAAAATAAATTCCGTTGAGTTTTCTAGATGTACAGTAGTTTTACGATGTATTTTTAATTATAATATTTTACAAATATAAATATATACAGTTATATATATTTCCTCATAATAAGACAATCAAGTAATTTTACTAATACTTAAAATAATATGTATGTATATTATAATATAGTTTTTATGAAACATGTTTTTATTATTTATTGTTTCATAGTTGAATGCTTGTGTCCTGCGTGTTTTTAATACTCAATCAAATTAAACTTTTTAATACATTTTTTTAATGTTATTCTTTGCTGTCATGGTTTTAAAATGAAAAAATCTAATAAATTATTTTTAATTTTTAGGTACAAGAATGTGTCCCAACAAATTTTGTTAAAGATGACTATCGGTATCAAACAATGTCCCCTGTTGGATACTTTAACAATTCAACCGTATAGATGAAGTTTCTTCTAGGGTGTATAGGTAATATATTATATTATGATTGTTTTTTCCTAATCATTCTTAATGCATATTTCTAATTAGAAAATTAAATTAAATTCGTAATGTTTTAGTTTGGATTTGGGCGTGCATTTCCTTAGTCCTATGTCAAGATGGCATTGGTACCAATAATGCAACAAAGAATTCAATACTATCGGAAGTTTCAAAATTACAAAATTTTGAAGTTACAACGTCGCAAAAGCCTACCCTTACAGTTAGAGAAGAGCAAATTGAAGATGAATTAAGTAATAGCGCTACTACCACAGAGAAGTTTATGGAAAAACGTAAATTTATAATTAGACCTTTAAAAGAAAATGAAGAATATAGGGAAATCTTTACAGTTAGATACAATGAAACAGGCCCAACCACTATAAGAAGCTCGACTAATAAAATTAAAACTTCGTTATCGTCAAGCTTCACAAAATATGATGAACCCGAAGATATCACTGTTAGTGTTGATAATGATTTTACCACATCATTTGAGGGTTTAGTGAAAAAAAACCCCATAGATAATGGAGAGAGAAAAACTAGACAACGGTTAGATGGATTAAAAAGTGTTACGACAAATAGGGGTAGAACGAGATTCCAAAATGAACAAGGAACTTCAGAAATTCCTGAAATTTCAACAAATTTACGTTATAAAAAACCTATTAGAGTTAAACCAATTGAACAAACCATTAAAGATGAAGTTGTTCCGACTTCAATAGTAGATGATTTGATTGATACTACTACGATAATGGATAATTCTGAAATTGAACTACAAAGGCCAAAGTTTAAAAAACCACCATTAATTGCTACTCACCATCCAAATTTTGGAACGTCAACTGAAACATCTCGTAGACCTGCAATTAGATCAAATTTAAACTTAAAACAAAAGATAATATCTTCTACAATTAAAGCAAAACCATCTGAACCAGAAGTAACAGAGCCTGAAAATATAATAGCTAATAACAATACATCTGAAGTTGGCTCACTTAATGTGCAATTAAATAAAATGAGACCAATTAAAGTGATCACTCCAAAAGGATCAGCATCTCAACAGCCGATTCCACCAACTGCAACAGCATGGGCTTTGGCTTCGTTAAAAGCGCCAAATAACACCAATAGAATATTTAAGAAACCTTTAAACGTAACTAGTATACAAGAATCAGTTACTAAAATCAAACCATTCATTACTTGGTCCACTAGATTACAAAAAACAAATGAAGATAATTTAAGCACAACTTCTACTTCAAACAGTGCATTAGTTATAGGGGAGTCAAATGAAACATTTACAGGAATGCCTGAGACATACGTTTCAACTGGTAAATTAAATACTATCAATCGATTAACACCGGAAATTACTTCAACAGAATCTTTAATACATACAATGTCAATGTTGTCAACAAGTCATAAACCAAATAGAAATGATTCTACTACGAATGGTATTGGTGGTGACACTGATCAAAATAAGTATGAAATATATGGATCTCAAAAACCTGACGTTGAAAATACAACTACAGTAATTGAAACATTGCGTCCATCGTCGTCTACAATACCTACGGAATCGCAAAATTCTAATTTGTTGTTGGTAACGTCTTATAAATCAATTTTTGAGAACAACAATGATTCAGAAACCAAACAAAATGTTTTTACGCCACCTGAAATTCCTGTGTCATCAATCACATCAAAAATAGAAATGACAAAAAACGAATTTACAACATTGATGACGGACCCATTAAATATTTTTAATTATAGTGGAGTAACACTGAATACTGAAAATGAAAAAGATCATAAATTACCAGTAGAACAGACTTCTACAGAAATATTTAGTAAAGCGCCAGAAATCTTATTTGATTATTCTGAGTATCACGATAGTAATAAAATGCCGACAACGGCGGGAGACCAATCGAGTAATTCAGACGTTGAATTTTCGATTTCTCATGATATTGATTTAAATAATCAAAATCATTCGACTACTACTGAACATTATATAGAAAGTATTAAAACTAAGTTAGATACAAAAATAACAGAATCTATAGACAATCATGATTCTTTAGAAATTATTGATTTTACAAATAAGTTTTCGTCCGAGCATCCTACACTTAGTTCTACTGTAGGGACTGAAGTTGAAACAGCGGTTCCAGAAAAAACCTCATCGGGTAAGTTTTTTGATTTAACATTAATATAATTATTGTCCATAAAACTAATAATATTTATTTTATCAACAGAATTTTCTCAACTACCATCTAATGATATATTAAATACTTCTCAAGCACCTGGTTGGTCTAACACCCCTGATATATCTTTTATTGATTTCGAATCGAACTCAACGGACAGTCACGATGATACAGGAGATGATGGCCAAAAATCATTCGAAACCTCTTCTCCAAGTTCTGTGGTAGTGAATGAACCAACTTCAGAATCAGATATTTCTGAAAATGATGTTCCTATAGTTACTAGTTTATTGACTACATCAACAACAACAACAACAACATCAACAGCTTCTCCAAAACTAATAACAACAACCACAACAACTTCGACGACTCCAAAACCCACCACAACAACTACCACGACTTCAAAACCCACTACAACAACTACCACGACTTCAAAACCCACTACAACAACTACCACTACCCAGATACCAACAACAACAACTACGACTACATTTAAACCAGTAGTAATAACAACTACAACTACTCAAACACCAACATCTACACAAAGAATAACAACATCTATTGCTCCACCTATAGTGATTGAAATAACTACTCCTAGTACAACTAGAAAGCCTATATCCTCTACACAACTTCCTACCACTACATTGTCAAGTAAACAAACTACAACAACTATTCGGCCAAATTCGATTACTTTAAGACCAAAACCAGCCGTGATCGATTCAGATAAGACTACTTTTGCACCTAATGTACCAATTATTCAATCATACTTAAATATATTGATTAACTCGACAATGGCAGACGTATGCGAAAACAAAGAAAATCTTAAGGACGCAATTATTAAATTGTTTGAAAGTGGAACCGAGAGGTAAAAAAATAACAATGTGTCTTGTACAAAATATTATAATTTAAAATGTATTTTTTCGTAGTGTTAATTCGAAAAATCAAATCAGATTCCTTAATACCGTCGAAAAACAATGTTTAAACCCCGATGATGAAAAAAGTCCGGTTGAGGTTGAATTTTACTTGATGAACAGTAATGGCGATTATAGCACATTAATGAACGAAGAGTTTATTAGCTTGCTAGACAACCATCGATTTGATTACAAATCAGATGTACGTAAATATATAATGATCTAAAATAATAATGCAATTTTATTGAATTTTGTTTAATTAAAATAAACTATTATTTTTTTTTGAAATATTAAAATGTTAGAATATTTTATTATTTTTAATAATAATAATTAACTATAGATATATGTATTAATATATTATACAGATAATAAGAGCCAAGTTTATGAAACGATCTCTAGAAGTTGACATCGATAAGGATGAAACTCAAAATCCAAGAGTGAAAGCTGCTATATATCTATCATGTGTAGCCGGTGTTTGCACCATCCTTGTATTGATTTTAGTGAGTAAATATTTGATACGTATTATACCTGTTAGTGATTTAGTGTTTATATAAGTATTGATATTTAAACATTATTAACAATTAAGATAATTGTCCGTAAACGTCAAAAACGATTCAACTATGGCCAAAGATGTACTCCTGTCTCATTAGACGACTATAGTATGGACAATATATCGGTGTTTAATAGCTTTAGAAGAAAAGGCGCACGAAGGGCGTCAAAACGGTCATATGGAAATCCTGCCTTTGACGATTCTGTAAGTATTTTTTTGTTCATTTCATATTCATTTTAAATGTTGTTTTTATAAACTTCGAGATAGCATAAAGTTTCAGTATCTAATTTATTGTTTTAGTTAAAACTTAATATTAAGTATAAAACAAATACCTATCCATATAGGTAATTGTATTTTTTTTATTATTTATTACAATATTCAATATTTATATACTATATTTAATTAGTTAAATATAGTAAATTCACTCTAATTTCAATATAGATTATATTAATAAATAAATAGGTCGATATTCATTTACAAATTTGTGTCGGTATAAAAACTACCTATATGATTATACTGTTTTAAAATAAATAAATCCATAGTTCTTACAATTTTAGTTTATTTAGCAATTTAATACTATGTTTAAAATCCGAAGCATATTTACATTTAAATACTCGTATTTTATTGTATGATGATAAATAAAGTTTAAATTTATTTTTATTTGACTTGGGTTAAACAAAATATTTTCAAGATTATGCTTTTTACGAAGCCGCTCTTGTTATATCAGAAGTAATTTTTATTTTGAATACATAAATTTGGATTTGTTAAAATATTTGTTTTATTTTAATTCTAATTTATATACAAACAATATTTTATTAGAATCCATATTAAAAAATAAAATAAAAATAAATTCTTATTAAATTAACCTTTTAATTCATTTTGTATTTTTAAATGATTATAAAAATATATTTAAACTTATCATATTATAAATTTAATATACATAAATAACTAAAAATTGTATGTTAAAAAAATGAAGATATTTTATTTATTTATTTTTTTGCTTATTCTTAGGTATAATTTTTATTTTTCTATTAAATATAAAAACTGATTACACGTACTATAAATGCATTAAAAACAAATTTAATTATAAATTATATTTATTTTTATTTAAAACGTATTTCACTTATATATTGTATATCATGTTAATTTGACAACATCATAATTAAGTGGTAAAAGTTTCATTTGCCATAAAATCGATTTTTATCCATTAACTTAATTAGATTCAAGTTCTAAAAATGTTTATTTTGCTAAGAGACTGATAATTGGCTTTGTTTATGAATTATTTATAGATACATAAAAATTTAATGATTTTTAATAAATATAAAAATAAAATTGTATGATACCTAATTATAGTAATTAGTTACATAAGTAACATAAATAATTAATTTTTTTTAACTATAATATCTACTATAATACTGAATATATAAGTTTTTTATTACTTTATTTGTTTAATTTTGGTATTAATGTATTACTAGTCGATAAAAAATTAGTTATATTTTTACATATGAAGGATATAATTGTTCAATTATTATAGTTTCAACATAATTTACTATGGGTTTGAAATTCAAAACTGTATGTTTGTATAAAATATTTCAATATTGGTAGATGTGACCAAATAAATCGTTAACAATAATTTTAAATTACATACGATAATTATCGCTCACAGTTAATTTTCTTAAAAAAAACTTACACATGAATGATAATAATATTATGATCGGTACACGTATATATTTATAGTAATAATTTTTGTGACAAAAACAAAACGTACTGATAGGCAATATTTGTTTTCCGACAGTCAAATTATATTTTTTATTAATATTTATATATAAATATTAAAAAAATGTGTTTTATTAATAAACTTTAGAAAAAAAAAAATGTCACACGAATAAATGCATACCCAAAACATTCGCCTACTGATTCACTTATCACCAACGTCGTCGTTCTATTAATCCATAGAAAATAATTGAGACGTACGTCGTACGTGCACTAGAACTAATGAAACCAATTACACTAGATATGATGATGCGCCGTTGAAAATGGTTTTCTCTCCCACTTATTGTATTAGATATTATCCTATACATACAATATTACATTCAACACACAAATTATTTTATCGCTTCCCGTATGATTTGTTCCTTGACATGTTAGTGTTTCGGTGTGCTAGTCAAAAAGAAAGGTCGCCTATTGATAAAACGACTGTTTGTCAATGTGTTATAAATATTATAAATAATAATTGTCGTGATCACAAATAATATTATAACATGTTCGGTTTGGATTTAATAGCTTAGTTTACATTTGTTACGCCCAGATTAACATATAGTACACGATATACCGTTAAATAGTAGAAATCTTCTAAAAATATTATTTTATGTGCAAATTATGTGCTATTGGTGTTGTTTTCGTCAAAAGTACGGTCGGACTGTACCGGCGAGAAGAGATAGCAGAGCCAGTAGGTCAAGTAGACGAGATAGTAGACGATGGAGTATTTTTACAATTTTTATGAAAGATGTACCTACTCAAGTTTGATTGAATGTTTTGATTTTGGTATACTTATGTATTTAATTTTAGTCGGCTTGTTCACACGTATTGAACTTTGCTGGGCTTGTGAGCTTTTCGGAAGATCGACCGGCGATTGACGAAGAGTTTTCCAACATACCAGTGATTACAGTGAAACCAGACGAGTTGCCACCGGGTGCTGAAACGAAGAACCGTTACGCCAATGTTATACCAATGCCAGAAACGAGAGTTCTGCTGAATCCACGTGGTTCTGGATTGAATTCAGACTACATAAATGCCAATTATGTCAAGGTATGATAGTTTTACTTGTATTATGGCTGTATAGGTATTTTGAAATACACTTTAAACGTTGATCACTGTTTTAGGGTTATAAGGGTGCTGAAAAGTTTTATATCGCTTGTCAAGCTCCGATGCAATCCACCATTCCCGACTTTTGGCAAATGATTTGGGACCAAAATACTAGAGTCATTATTATGGTTACTAGCTTGACTGAAAAAGGAGTGGTAAGTTTAAAGTTTAGTTTGTCTAGCCAAATTTTAACATAAACTTTATTAATATTGCGTGTGTAAATTATTTGTTGAGTTATTATACGTTGTTAGTAATAATATAGTATAACTTATATTGTATAAACTCTAACATATTTTATAAAATTTATGAGAACTTATGTATTAATATAGCAAGGTACAAAGAAAATGTATATGTTATTTCTTTAGGTTAACCATACTAAATTCTCGTCCCACATATTTCATAGAATTTTATTTATTGATGTGTATTTTCATAAATTCAATTGAATCTAAAATAATTATCGCATTTTTAATCATAAAAAATAAAACAAAATTAACTGGTATTTTATCTGCTATTTAAAAAAGTTGTATGTTTTAATAGGAAAATAATAATTTTTGATAAATCGTTTTATATTTCTTGTGATATGTTTTATCGTGCATGTTAAAAAGAAAAAAATTATATTATAAACAAATGTTTATTCAGATCTTGGTAAGAAGTTTATGTTACAATTTATATATTTTAATAAATTAAAATCCACTGTTATGATAAGAGCTTGATATCATTAGCTCAAATATTAATAGGAATATTTAGCTAAATACACAAAACACAGCTGTATTCATTAATACAAATTAAATATTTTCGGAAAAATTTTAACTGTATTGCATTGTATGTATACTTAATGCTTGATAATTTATGTAAGACATTAAATATACAATAATACTGTATATATTTCTAAGCAATAAAAAATAATTCATTATATTATGCAATACTATAAGTTTTTTGTATTCATTCGATTAGAACAATCGGATTTTTTATCATCTAAGCAATTTTATCGATAAAATTAAAAAAAAACTTCATCTGTGATTATAACCATGCAATTAAAATGTAATGATTTATACTATTATAGTATACTATCTAAAAATAATTTAAGTAGGTAGACATGTTATGGATATTAATTGAGTCATAGAAATTCCATTCAAAATTGCACACCAGACAAGCTGTTTTGAAATGCTTGTGAATTTTCGATGATATAGTAGTCTTACAGACTGTCACTTAACTTTACAATCAAACAAATTAAGAATGAAAAATATACCCAAATTTAATAACTATTTGTTAAATAAATTTCAAATGACTTCCCATTGCATTGTTATCATTACAAAATACATGTTTTTCTTTTTCACAATTTCACATGAAAAATATATATTTATCATTAATTTTTCATCATACCATTTACTATGTACTTAGTTTCCTATAAGGACAGTGTTTTGTAGATGCATTTTCACAGTAAATAAATTAAAATAATAACTATTATAGGTGGTATTTAAACTAAAATAGTGTCAATACAGAATGACTCATATTCGAAAGTAATAACTATATAAATGTAAAATATAACATAGGTTTCACATTAGCAGCTAGGTATTCAATAATTATTTATTTATTATGTTTTAGTGTGTAAAAACAAGTACTATAATACTCGTATAAATTAATAATCATTTTTTTATGTTCTTCATACTAACAATTAAATTAATTATGTTTTTTGTTTAATTGGATTGAAGAAAAAAAAACAGTTGTTTGTTTCTTAAAATCACTATGGTAAAATGTTGAATCATTAAAGAGATAGTTAGAAAAGCAAAAGACAGGGTTTTTTATAATAATAAATTAATTATGTAATGCTTATTTGTTTTAAGCAATACATTTTTTTTTTTTTTTTATAGACATATATATTTTTTAAATTTTATCTGTGAAGTATGATTATTCAACAATATAAAGTAATAGATATAAGAGATTCTAGTCAGCAATTGCATTGTCTAAATATAAAATAAATGCTTCAATTATATTATATTGTATTATACCATTATTCATTAAAAAAGGTATTATAATAATTTAAATATTAAATTAAACTATATATACATTTAAATCGAAAGTAAATAATTCGACATTTATTTGACATATCACGATTTATTTGCAAGGACATTTAATATTGTTACAAAATGCCAATATTTAAATAGTGATTTATAATTTTTTATTTTTTTGTGCGTACATTCACAATACTATATATTTATACCAGTCCATATTATTATAACTATAAATTATTACCTATATGTTTAAAAGAATAATAATTATTTATAAAATTAACTTTTAAGGCCGATATAATAGTGGTGAATAGATAGGTAGCTTAACTTTAATGGAGATAGTTTCAAAAATATTGTAATTTTATTTGTTTGGTGTATTTTATAATATATTTCATTGTTCATAATTCATTAATTGTTCTGTTTATGCCCTTATTTATATTTATTTGTTGATTGTGTCATGTAAAAAAAGAGCGTTTTATTGTCGATTTTTTTTAGCAGACATTGAATGTTAATTTATGATGTACCCTCATTCGTGTACAAAACCATGTTGAAGTAAATTAATCGATACTATAGCTTATACACAATAGTGTAATAGTAATGTATAAAAACGTATAACTAGAGATAGTCAGGAATATAAAAATTTAACCATTTTATTCAATATAGTTTGCTTTTTAATTTTTTGCGTTATATATTATTATGTTTTAATATATATTTATTTTTATTTTTGTGTAGGAAAGATGTGCGGACTATTTACCACCTTCAGAAGTCTTGGACTGCCATCGGTTGTTTGGTGATTATCAAATAACATTGAAGAAGCGAGAAGTAAAAGAGAAGTTTATAATATCCAGTTTACAGTTAAAGGTACTAACCTAAGCCATAAATATATTAGCATAATACAACAGTTATATTTCATGTTAATCGTACATGGACACTTCACAGAGTGTGATCCGGATTTGGGGAGAAGAAAGGCTGAGGATTTTTAATGATTTTTTTTTTTAGACTTACTAATATATCATATTTTCACTTTTATTAGTTATTACTCTTAAAGATTCAAACCATTCTTTAGTCTTTACAATATTTAAACAGACAACGGTACCTACATTCAATAATTTATACATGTATAAATATTATTCATATCACTTTATAAAACTGCGAGTATTTTATCTTGTTATTATGTAAGTGTATATTTTTTATCACTCACATTTTTTTTTTTTTTTTGTTCTTTGAGCTATTCGTGTATAAGATAAGATCAGATTAAGATTTTTGAGGCCTTTTAAATTTTTTTTTTTTTTTAGAACACGAATATGAAATAAAAATAATTGTCTACAATTGTATTTTTATTTTTATAAAACGTTAAATATAATTCGTAGAAGTATCTGTTTAAATTAATTTTTTTTTCTAACTTTCATTATAACAAATTTTTATAAAATCTCGTCTATAAATTTATTAACTGTAAAATAAAATACTATTGCCGAGTCGCATTAAAAATCTCTAAACATTTAACGAATCAATAGTGAACAGTGAACCAATGGTCGTTTAAACATGATTTAGTGGTCCTTGATAGTTCCATTAAATATTATCAAACTATCATATTAATTAATTGTTCATATGACCTGACATATAATAAAATTAAATGTCAAGAAGGAAATTAAAAAATAAAAGTAGTACAGTACTTTGAAAATAAATTTCCGATTTCAATTTTTTTCTTAAAGTTAATATTTTTATAGATGAAAAGATTTTATTTTATGCACTATATATACCTATTTAATTAATAATAATTAAAATACTTACTATAAATATTTGGTATAAAATTAGAGGTACCTAAAAATTATCTCAAAATTTCTTAATTCGGGACGGGACTGCATGAGTATTACTCAGGTTATATAATACAGTATAATAAACGCGTATGTAGAATATTTTAATAATATTATGCAGTTGCTAATAAGCGTTCAATTATAATTTTGACACTTACAACTTTAGGTTTCCAGGAGGTTATTGCTACTATGCTTACACGAAATACAATTTATGTGGTTTTAATTTTTTTTCTTGTGTATCGGCAGAACTTGGAGACGAATCTTTGGCGGGACGTGACACACCTGTGGTACGGAGGTTGGCCCGTGCAGGGAGTGCCGTCCGATCCGGGTGCAATGTTGTCGTTCGTCATGGAGGCCAGATCGCACATGAAAACCAACAGCGGACCCCACGTGGTGCATTGCAGCCCCGGAACCGGGCGAACAGGTACGGTTATCGCGTGCGATATGGCCATCAGAGATTTTGAAGTGACTCGGACCGTCGACATCCCGAAAACTGTGTACGCTGTTAGGCGATGCAGGGCCGGCGCGGTACAGACCAGGGAACAGTACGCTCTCATATATAAGGTATAATGATGTTGCTTTGAAAATAATATAAATTATATTTATGACTTAGGACTCAAGTAGGTTTTCATTATCCACCTAACGTGTCTCTTAAACAGTGATACATATTATATCAATACATTGCCTAAAAAAAAAATAAATGCATAAAATATACAGGTGTTAGGTTATCTTACAGTATTATTTGTTCTCGTACATTGTTATAGTTATATAAATTGGCTATCTCAGATTCTTAACAAGTATGAAAACAATATTTAATTTTTTTTTTTTTTTATCCTGATATGGGGGAAAAAAATTGTAAACCGTGTGTGCAATGATATCAACGACCGGATTTCGGTGTTCAGACGTTCTGTCAGTTGATGGACGCACCTAAAAAATATTTTAAATTCCACATACGATTTTTATTGAATAGAAGTACTTGTATATCGAAAGATATTTCGCCATTTCAGGTGATGGGTAGATTTTAATTTCAGTATTATGTAAATGTTTTTATCGTTTCAGTTAACACTTTTTGTTTCCCGATTTATAAATGGAGCATTAGTGCTCTAAAATATTCGTGTAGTACCATTAAGAAGAACGAGAATTGTTTTTATTCAAATATATCTTAGTTTTTAAATGAAATTTTTCAATTTATACAAATAGCACATCCCACCTCTACCCCGCACAGAGATTAACGAGCCGAAAAAAGTTTTCTGAATAACCAACCTTTTTTTTTCACAAGTCATTATATCATTTTATTCTGCAGTTATTGCAGTAGAAACGTGCACTATATTATTTTTAACAAGTGTTTACTCCCTGTTGATCTAATCACAGTTATATGAAACATCAACACTCAACACTTAATATTATTACGAAAATTATTTTTGTACAATTGTACGTCATATAATATAACTTTATATATATCATACCCATCAATATAGATACGTGGAATTATGAAGTAGTGTTTACATTTATACAAAAAAAAAAAAAAAAATTATACTCGTAAGAACAACATTGATAGACGATTTAAATGAGTTCTCATAAGTTGATAATTTTTAAACTAAAAAAATATTGAAAATTTTAAGTCACAATGTTAATGAAAATCGTTAAAATTATCAAATTATTTTGTAGTTAGAAATTCATAAAAAATTTAGTTTTATACTTAAGATTTGAAAATTTAATACTGGTTTCTTTCTATGCTTTTTGACCTTTATAAAAAAATAAAAATTATACCGGAGAGAAAATTAAAATGTTTATAAGCATTTCAAGTTCAAATTTTTATGAAATCGGATATTCAATTGTAAAATAATTATTTCTTTTCAAAATATCAGTAGATATTTTCAATTTTAACCAAGTGTTATATTATAATTTTTATTTTACCTTATTAAATTTTTTTTTTGGAGCTATTTCTAGGTATGACAAATTTTTATTTAAAAAAAATGTTTTTCTATAAATATCAATAATTGCTGGGTCAAAATTGTTGAACATTTTATGTAAGCTCTCACAAAAGTTGTTCTTATATTTGTATATAAATATTAAAAATGCATAGATAATTTTTTTTTTATGTGCATTTAAAGTTAGAATTTTGACGAAATTCGTCAATAACATAAAAAAATTGTTAACTATTTTATAGTTAGAAATTCATAAAAACTTTTCTTTTTACATCTAAGTTTTGAAAATTAAACACAAGATTGTTAAAAAGTAATTTATACTGAAACCATGAAATGTAATGAATATATTTAAAAATTAATTAATTTTTTTAAGAAATTTAAGTACAAATTTGAATGAAATTAATTATTTAAAAATAATAAATTTTCGTGAAACTGTATTTAAAGATTTTTTAACTTTAGCAGTTACCATATATTTACAATTTATAACTAAGAAATAACTCATTCAAATCTTTATTTGAGTATTTACTTTTTAATTCTTAAAAAAATTAACACTATAAAAGTTTTGAAAATATGATCCTTAAGTGTTTCTATTTAACAATTCTAAAATTCCAAAAACCGAATTCATTATAAATAAAAAAAATAATAAATGGGTATGTGCATAGTGTGTACTGTGAATGCTTGGTAATCACTCTATATAGTTATTTATATTGTTTAAAGTCTAACTGAACATATTAATGATTTCAGGTGGTGAATCTGTATGCAAGTAAACTCTCAGGAGGTGTATTGGATTCGTTTTAATGACATCGTACATATGTTTTATTTTTATATTCGCATTATATCGTTAGTTATTATATAAGTAATTGATAATTTTATTATATATTTTATTACTATTTGTTGATATTATTATAATATGGTGACTCTCTTTATGAAACTCTTAGAAGTTCGCAAATAGGTTCCGAACAAAATTATTTTAAGTCAGGATGATCAATAGTCTCCGAGTTCAATCAGCGTTTCTGTGATAAGCAAATTATAATTCATGATCAATCGTGCTAAATGATTCATCATATGTTTAAGATCTTTTGAAAAATACTGTTAAATAATTTAACAATTAAACTCTCTTTCTTTTTATTTTTATAACTATTACGTATGTAATACTAATTATGTAAATTACAATTTTGTTTTTATTGCAATTCATTTTTATGAAATTTATCGAAGAAATATTTAAATTGATTGTATATAAAAATCTTTAACTTCAAGATATTTTCCCTTTTTGTACTACCCGATGGTTTTTTCCTACATTGAAACCATACATCGCGATAGTAGATTATGTGGATTTATTATTGTTATAGCCGTCGTAAAAGTATTTCAATATATAATATTTTAATATGTGTACTATGTTTGTTTACTATTCGTGTAAAACAATAATGAAAGTTCCTCTTTACGTATTTACTTTCGCATTGTCGGTATTAATACAGATAACTATTACCTAATGTATATAATATATATATATTATACACACATACATATTAATAAGTTAAATACGCGTTTAATTATTAAATACATAAGTAGTATTATATATATATATATTTTTTTTTTATTATACTTAAATATATTATTTATATGTTAAAAAAAAAGCTTGTTCTTAAAGCGTAGTTTGTTCTGTAAATAACGTATAGTGATATAACATAATATCATAATAATTGTACGATGGTCTCATAAGTGACCAGTAGTCTAAAATGTTTTTTTTAGTCTGAGAACTTTGTGCATTGGCGGATCATTGGAGATGGGCTAAAAGTATTTCCAATTCAACAATCACCAATTGTCGCGTATACCTAAGTTTTTATTTCCATTTTATACTGACAGGACTACTGTTAATACGTTTACCACCAGTATATTTTTAATAACAATTCGTCTATGTTTAGCCAACATATAGCTACAGGTATGCTGTGTGATAGATATTAAATATTTCTTTAACTTTCCTCCTATCTTTTTATTTATATTTATATTTTATACTCCTATGTACACGTAACGTGTAAAAAATAATAAATATTTGATAAGCAGAAGACGTGTTCATTAGCTACTCATTGTACGAAATGTTTACAATAATAAAAATAACAGTTAGTTAATTGTTTTCTTTTTTTGTTGTTTTTTTATCACTAACTTAGGTACTGTGTTCAGATTGTTCAGACACTACAAGAGCAATTTGTTCTTCTGGTTATTCAAACCTTGCGAATTTAATTTTTTTTAAATCTTGAAAAAAAAATGAAAACCATTCATTCACTGCATGTCCACATATTGCATTAGATACAAATGCCTAATCTATATTATATTATATTATATTATATTATATTATAACTACGTCTCATTCGTGGGTATACGTGTGCACGCAGATGTAGGGATATTATTATAGTATAATAATATAACTTGAGTATGTTAAATTATTTTTATTACAATTTTGTATACGAATATATGTGATGAGATATTTAGAAAAAAAAATATTTTATTAAAACCAATAAAATAACTAAAAATTAAAACAAAACGATAAAATATGAGTTATGACATTTTGTTTATAATTTTTGTTTTCTCCTTCTCAAGTGCAATGTCAAAACAATATTTAACTATTTTGGAATGATAATGATAATAATAATAATAATAATAATAATAATAGCCGACAATGGCCGTTACAGAAATAAGAAGCAAGCGCGCTGAAGGCTCTTTAATTATCATAGAAACGCGTTCTTTTACTGATGCCAAATCGCATGAAATTTGTGTTGTCCATTCCAGTGTCTGTATTCTTCCGACGGTTCATTAGCACATTCAATAGCTCAGCAGCGGTCGGCTTCCATACTGGTTCAACTGCAATGACACAGGCATGATATGATTAAAATATTATACTATGACATACGTGTTAATTAACACCAAGATTGATTTTGTAGAAAAATAATCTTTATTTTATTTTATTGCATTAACAATATTTATGTAAACGTCGTTGTTTTAGCACACGCCACAAACTCAAAGTATTTTAATTTAACCTTGAAACTTTTATTTTTCATTTTTCGTTGCATATTTTAATAGGTAGGTACTTTTAATTTTCCAAGTCATTATTTTCTATTTTATTTTAATTTGTGCTATTTTTACGATTTCAGTAAATACTTAAAGCTTTCATACAGAAATTTATAATTATTTTTTATTTTACACAGATTATTTATCAATTAATTAAAAAAAATAAAAATAATTCCTGAACACTTATTTAAATGAATGAAGTTTATATAATATATAATTTTAAAATGTGAGCGGAATAGTTAATTTATTGCCTAACAATGACATTTAGATTTTTTCTTGTTATTATTATTTAAACACAATAATAATAACAAGACATTTTACCGTTAAGAGCAGTAAAAGTACTTCGATTTTTGAATTTATATATTATTTCTGTTAAAAATTAGATTTAGTTTATAGTTTTATTTTAATTTAAAAACTTTTACTATACGCATATAATTCCTACCTATTTATTGGTATATTTATATAAACAATATATTGCCTTGTATTATAAGTTAGTATTATAATATGAAACTTTATTATATTATACATTTTTTATAAAAAATAGTTCATTCTTTCTTATAGTAAAATAAATTACTAATAAGTAATAACCACATAGCCACATAGGTACATATCCTTTAGGAATTTAGTTTTTAGGAATTAGGTAAACTATCTTCAATTAGAATTATTTTTCGTGTACAACGATTTATCATTGAATTTAAATTAAATAAATTAATTATTGTAGTGTACTTAATGACAAAAATTATTCAACATAAACTACGCAGAAAAACTAGTCTTCTAATTATTTTTAAATTAAGCATGTGCAAAAAAAAATCCATTTTTTTAGTAAAACTATAGTTTTTGTATTTTTAAAATTTTAATTTTAGGTTATTTTAAAAAATATTAAATACATTTTCTAAGATTTAATGATACGTTTATTTAATTTATATCTCTAATTGTGATTAAAAGTTCTAAAACAAAAAAATAAAAATATATCCAACTTAATGTTCGAAATTGCATTTATTTTTTTGAAAATATTACGAATTCACACCAATATTAAAATATTATTAATTAAATGTGTGATAAATTTTAATGTAAAAAAATCAAATTTTTCTGAAACAAAAATTGTACTTGTTTACTTTAATTTATTATATTTTTAATTATTTTCACAAATGATAGTGGTAACTTACATATTAATATTATGAGTGTTCCTATTAAATTGTATTATGTCTGTAATAGTTCTCCTATGAATATCAATTTAAAAATAATAAATATAGAAGAATAAATGTATTAAATATTATTAATGAAAAATACTTATTTTAAAATTTAAATAATTTTAAAAATGATATCTCAAAACAAAATTCAAAGCATTTTAATATGTAAGTACCTAATAATCATAGGTAATACAAAATAGTTTGTTTTGACTAATTGTCTACTTTATGCTATTAAAAAAAAAAAAAAAAAAATTATTAATTTAGATTATTGATTTTTATCAAAACTAATTGAATATATACTTGTGTATAATAATTTATTAAATTATAGTAGGTACCTATGATCTACGTATAGTATGAAAATGTTATTCAACTCATTTTATTATTTACAACAATTCGATATGACTGCATATATATTTGTTTCATACTAAAATTATTTCTACATGCTTAATTTTAATTTTAGTACCTTTGAGTTTTATGGTTGTCACTCAAAATGATTGTCATGATTACACATATTTATATATTTTTGTATAAGTACAAACCATACATAATAAAATATATTATATACGACTGTTGAGTTTGATCCAGTTGGATCATGTCGACATAAAAATAGCCATAAATCGCTCACTATCCAATACGTATTGTATAATTTTTAATGTAACCAATAATCACAATATTTATTGTTGTTGATACCTTTTTCGTTTTATTTATAGTAATTTATACATACATTTTATTACTTATTACATGAAATGATTTTATTTTTCCTATTTTTAATTACGAATATTGTATGTGTCAGTACAACGATTCGATCATTCAAACGACGACTTGAAATACGCAAATAAATATTGTTTGGGTGGTTAATTTTGAATAATAAATTGAGTGAATACAATACATAAATAAATGATCTGGGTTACATTGTATTAATACTATATTGTGATAATCATATATGCTATTATAAACTATATAATACGAACTGAATAATAATAGGTTTTTAAAAATAATGTCATAATTAGAGTATCGACAAACATGCGAAATGAATAATAATTTATTTTCACGATATTCTGAACATATTTTGATTGTTAGTTATGTTCACCATGTGGGATTTTCTATTATTGTATAATAATAATGTTATTACAGAAAAAAATCTTATTTTTTATTGTAATTGATCGGTCAACGTATTAAGTTATTCATTTTCGTCATTTAAAATTGACATAACTTGTCACATGTTTAATGTATGATATGTATTTATGAAAAGAAAACAAAACTTTTTGTATCGAAATAACGCTAGCTGTCTGTTCGGCATAAGGCGATGAATACGCGCACGTCTATCAACGAAAACGAATCTCCTGCGGCCACGAGAAGTCTTATAGTACGAAAAGTAGTTTCATTATAGAATGGAGACGGGATTGGTAAATTGGGTCCCAAATGACCTTATCTCAGTAAATTGGGTCCCGGAAAAAAAAATATAAATTAAAATGTATGTGGTTTTTATAATATTATGTTCTCAATAAATAATATATGGTATAAATGATTAAAAAATTGTGTACCGGGAAAAAAATGTTAATACGCTAAATAATATAGTATGTCAAATTTTACAATATATGGTATAAATAATATTAAAAATGTTAATAAGCTAAATAAAGAAGAATACCTGTGTATACACACATTAACATCATGCGTAAAATTAATTGGTGTCCAGGCGGTGTACCACACTGTATGCAATATGACGTATTATTGTAACAATTATTCAAAAGTAAATTATATAAATATGAAATATTAAAGTTTTAAGTTTTTAATATTTTAGACCTAATTGCGCCAATGATTTATAGCCGGGACCCAACTTATCTATTACCTTTTTATAGCCGGGACTCAAATTACCGCTTTCAAAACGAACCCAAATTATCGCGGACCCAATTCACCTATCTCCAATGGAGACTATGACACGACACGATTAAACGATTGAGAGTCTTTCAAATTATTTTTATTTATTTATTTTTTTTGATTTTATTTATTTCAATCTGTGTACAATTATATTGCAATAAGCGCAAATGATGGATTATTTAAGTACCTAATTCAGATATCTTAGTAAAGAAACTAATGATTCGTCTATTGATTGAACTGCATGGCGATGGCCGTTGAATGATTGATTTTAGACGCTTAAAGATTACGATACCATTTTGTTACGTTGCGTTTAAAGTTAATCATTATAGATTTTAGGATAGGTAGTACAAACGGATTGGTCGAATATTAAAGGATTGTGATGGTCGATTAGATTGAAGTGTAAGCGTTTGATAAAATTTTCGTCAACATTTTTAAGAAATCTTTAACCATTATGGAGTAATATATTATTAGTGCATTATTTTAAATAGGTACTTTGGGTGTTTTATATTTTATGGAACTATTTTGGTAGGAATGTTTGAATTTTGTTTATGTTTGAAGGTTTAGCTTAATTTATTTAGGTACCATATGATCATATTTATCTAAGTATAAAAGTATTTTATTATTAAGACTGTTTGCATAAATTATAAATATTAGTAATAACATCATAATATTATTATATATATATACAATTTTTTATGTATATAAAGTCTATCAATTTCAAAACTAAGATAGATATTTAAAAATGCATATTTTGTGTCTAATCACCATTTTTTTTTTTTTAATTATTGATTCTTGCGCTTATTTTGCATTAAGTGACTACATACCTATTATTATAATATCGTTTAATTTTATTAAGATCTCAATAATTTAGACAACCGTTGAACACAATATCATATTTGTTAAATATGTCATGCTAACACTGAAGTACCAGCTGCCGCTCAGCGGTTATTGGAGTTTCAATGAAAGAGCAGTGTCAACTACTGTGAAGTTGGCTCACCAATATAGTAGTAACCACTTCAAATCATCATAAATATTTTTTAAGTAATTCATAAGAGTTTACAAGTATACAATTTTTGTATAGACAGCTGTAGGGGATACTTCATATAATCCTCCTAAGTTATTCTACAAATAGATAAAATCGATACCAAACAATAATATAATTATATATATTTATAAAATGTAATGAAATTCTATCACAGATAATTGAGGGCTCGAGTATATTATTTCTCATATTTTGATAGTTATCAGAAATATTGACGCAAATTATTGCTTACAAAAAACAATATTTAGAGATAGATACACTCCAACACTACATATTATGCATCTATAATCATCATAGAATACTCTTGCGGCTAGTACATCAGATCGTATTTATAAACTTATGGTACGTTTATCCATGGACATTTATTGTAAATACCTATCTTTTTTTTCATTCAATTGCATGTGAGAATAATTGTTTAAATTATTTTTTTTCCAACATGTGTTTCTATTCCAATAGGTTATTGATAATATTTTTTTTATATTTATTTCTGGCTATAATTTATAGATCGTGTTTTAGATCCTACTGAACCAAAACTGTTAGTGTCGTGAGTTATTGATATTTTATTGTGCAATTGATTTTAAATGATGCGCCATATGAAATTGAAATAAACTTAAAATACAATACGGCTTGCCGTGGAAAATATGGGGACTAGTATATAACTACGTCAACTATGAGCGCCCGAACTAATGAGTGGAATGGTTTATTGATTGTCTAAGCTATGCGTGGTTTATTGTTACATATTATCTGTAGGACGGTCATTTTCGGAACGCGTTAGTGGTTTGAAATGAACATTTATTTCTTTTGTACGTTTTTTAAGATGAATAAAACTAAAGATACCTATAAATAGTAAAGTTAGGAGGAGAACGTGACGCATTCAGAAAGTCGTCATTCATAGAGGAAATTCCATACTGGTAAACGTTTAATGAAGGATAAATTCATGATGTAAGTTTTCTGCGCGGTAAAGTAAACGTTTGCAAATATAGCGAACGCCGTGATCTACTGTTTGGTCTGCTTGATTCAAATAATCAAAACCGTGGTCGAGATTATTTAAACTTTCGCTGATATAAAAACCGTGTAGATCTAAATTCACAACTATGTCATCTGTCGCGTTGTTTCCAACAGTTGATTACTAACGATAACTAACGATAGATCATAGTTGTTAGTGAAAATAACACCATGATTACAACAGCCAGTCAGAATACAATACAAGGAACGCAACATAACAGACGTGTATCTGTGAATCTAACGTAATTGGCATGAAGGATAATTGCTTATTATATTGCTATGTATAACTCTTTATGCCTTATACCACGATTAGCTAATAAACCGCATCTATCGCTTAAGAAGACGTCACACCCACATGTGATATTCCTGTTTTACATACATACAACATAGCAGAATACATTTTAATATGTTGTCAACTTTAATATTTGAGTAAATTTACCTATTGTCAAACGTATAGGTAAGAATATTATCTAAGCCATAATATTATAATTTTAAAGTGAGCTATGAGCATTTTAATGTTGTAATATTTTACATAGCTATAATTCATTTTAAAATGATATTAATAATAAAAGCCCAGATAAGCCTAGATAATATTCTTACTTTTATGTTTGATGATTGATTCATTTATTTCATTATTGAAGGTAACAACATAAAATGAATTCTGATGAACCTTTATTTGTTGTGTGATATGCATGTGCGATGAGAACAACACATGCGGCTGTGGCGTTCTCTTAAATCAAGTTCCGAACTAAGTCGTAGTTGATAGTTGTGTCGTGTTCATTGTATCATAAACTGATTGGATATTGTATTCATGTTATCATTCACTAACCATGATATATTGTGAGTTGGGCCTAGCTTAAGTTTTGGACACGGCACTACTGATGACATAACTGTGAACCCGGCTTTAGAAAGTTGCAAACGTTGGTGTTTATATTCTAATACTTTACGCTATATAATTTTGTCATAACATATCATGTATAATATATAATAAACATTGTATATTTGATATGAGGATATCCTATCCATTTATATATTCATCTATTGTTTTCTCAGAATTTGTATCCTGGAACTGTCAAGTTCTCGATTGTCCAATAGATAGCTATATTTTTCTTCCATTTTTCACGTATGCAATAGTGTTATTTAAGGATAACGAAAATCCAGCTGTGGAATTCCATTTTACCGCTCACGTATTATAAATTATAATATGTTTGGTAATATATGTGATATGGTATAGCAAAACGATTCTTGATTACCTTTGAATCTATGATACATGTACCTCCTAATTCTTAATGATCGTCAAGTCAAAGGTACGATGCGCATATTATTCACCGGCAGTTAAGTGTTAACTATAGATATAAATCTATTAGGTACCTTGTACTACAAAAGGTAACAAAAAACCACGGCGCTTGCTCTTCCCTATATAGTACTTAATATAGCAGTCGGATTATTAGAAAAATTTACGAATTGCGTCTTAAATATAAAAATTGAGTTAAGTGCGTGATATATGAATTAAGTCCTGGTTTTTTTATTCCAATATACTTATGTACCGATATCTAATTATATGTGAGTATTATCATATTATTATCTGTTGAAAATACTTTGAAATTTATGAATACATTTACACGTTTAATAAAGTGTTTAGATTGCATGTCGTTCTTTTGAAATGATCGTTGACCATAGAGCACTGTTCAGTTTCTAATTCTTGAGACACGAGTTTAATAATATTGTGAGTGAAATTTTATGAGTAATGACTAATGAACAACATCAAATATTTTGTGTAACTAATTATTATAAATTACGTTTTTAATAATTATTAAAAAATGATCCAAATGTTTGAAACAATATTTTTAACCTACCTTTAGCAATGTTATTCAATATTACTATTGACAATAATTTTAAGTCTGTATTACACAGATAAGTAAGTAAGGTATATTTACATCGGACGAAATTAGTATGAAAAAAGAAACTTGAAACTCAATTTGTTTGCTATGATTTTTTTCAGTAAATTGGCCAATAAACATCTATAGTTTTTTGTATAAACGCATTTAAGAGGGCTTGGAAGGGGGGGTTATTAGGGATTGTACATGTATAAGTAGAAATATGTACTTATATCATCGCGACCAATAAGACTTAATATTATTGTATCATAAAATTAAGTAAAATTGTTACTTAAATCATTACATCGGTTTACATCGTCGTTTACGTAATTTCTGTTAGCAATCATGCCGTATGGTAGCACTACACCGGCCGTTTGACTGGCCCTCAACCTGGCCACTGGATGATAAGGTACGGAATATCTCTTGCTGTTCAGCTGAAATGTCAGATAATTTGGAGTATCGGCGTAGATCCTCTCATCCATACGACTATCATCCCAAGGTGCTGCCACCGCCGACAAACCTTCAGTACCATCATCTGTAATAAACACAAGCACTCTGTTGTCAATTGTAATTTTCATGGTATTCATATGATAAAAATTAAAATTGAAATAATTTATTATTTTATTTAAATAATTAAACGTTCATAAATTGTTAATAATTAGGTGAATGATGGTTAATTTTAATTTATTTTTTAAATAATTTATGTACCTATAATCATCAAACGTTTAAGGAAATTACTGAAAATTCACTTAAATACTTTAATAGTTATAGACTATAGTATATTAGGTACCTAATACTTATTCAGAGAAAAATGTATAGTTAGATAATTTTAATAGGGATACTGGAAGCTGAATATTCTAGGGCGTATACATGTTTCGAATATTTCAAAGAAATTTATATTTTATGTAATCTTGACGTCATCGTTATTTTACTGTGTTAGCTAAGTGCACATATAATGTCTGTAAACCTTTTTTTTTTTGAAGTTGAATATAATATACAAAAAAGATCCGAACAATCGTTAATCGTGTTGATGTTGTCAAAAGGCTAACTTATTTATAATTTGATCTCTATAATTAATATATATATATATATAGTAATTGGTAATAGTATAAAGTAGTTATATTTTGTACTTAACAATAAATTGTTAAACATCATTACAATGTTTTATTAATATAAAAATCGATTTGTGGATTTAAATATTTTATTTAAAGCTTAACACAAACATTTTACAAATGTTAATTCAATTGGAAATTTTTATATTTCTAAATGAGTAATAGACAATAAACCATTAAATTTTCTAAAAATAACTTATAGAGGAATGTACAACAATCTCAAATTGTATTTTTTAAATTAAAATTAGATAAATATAAATATTTTACATTTTATAAATAAGAAGTGTTTTGAATAAGCCAACAATTGTGTTAAATTAATGCATAGATTAAGTTTTCTATTAGAATTGTTGTTGTATTTTTTAAATTTAAATTTATCTATTGACTGAGAGATAATGTATTATTAGTTATTACCTATTATAAAAATAAGAATTATCTACATTTAACAATTCAAAAAAAGTACAATACAGTTCTTTACATTTTCTTAGTTAAATTAGCAAATAGATATACTTAAGTATACCTAACTTACTGAATTATTATAATATAATATATACTATTTTCGATTTTAGCGAAGTTAATGGCTTATAATTATAGTTATTGATATTGTATTTATTAATTAGCTGATACAAATTTGAGATTCTTATTATTAATAAAAAATCAAAATTTATTAAAACGACAGTAAAATGAATAAAACTAAGTAATGCTACATCTGCCTAATAGTCTGTATGTATTATATGTATAATAACGGTTAAAATACATAATTTTAGTTCATACGAATACTTTAACACTTAATAATGAAAATTACATATAAAATAATTCCGGAGATGGTTTTCCTTATACTTTTTTTCTTTGTTGTTAAGCTTTTCAGCATTTAATAGTTGTATCGAATGTCTCACAAAATTGCCTATGTTTTATACTGTAGTACAGAGTAGTGATAGTAATAATATAAGTAGGAGAACTTATAATAGACTCTTACATTATGTGTTCAAGCTATTTTTATTTATTGGATTGAGTTTATGTTTTATAATATTATATAATATTATATGCAACATGCGTCTTAATAATGATGAAGTTATTATTATTATTTATATTGAACAAAATAACATCCTTCTTTGATACACTTAAACATGCCACTTGTTCAAACTTTCAGACTATTGCTACACGTGCAGATATCCATATAGTCTATACTACCTACCTACATTGTTATATTATAATTTTAAATAAATGGTGTTTTTGACGCTTGACAGCATATTATCTTTGCCTTTATTAATATAGAATATTGTTTTCCTGGGTACGAATACATATAGTAGTTTCTCGGAATTTCAATTTACTTAAAACTGACTTATAACACCAACAAATTTAATGATAAATACATGGTTTTATAATTTAAAATATATAGCATTATGTACGTTTCAATGCTATAAATTATAAAAAATAGTTGTTTATTTTGTTACATACACAATATCAATAAATTGCAGAATAGTATTTACAGCTATAATACTTGGGATTTTGTTCAGGCGAAATATTTAAGAATCTCTTTATGAACATAATGATTGTAATATTATACGTAAGTATTGAAGATGTTTTAAATTTTCCAATGGTGATTAATTAAATAATTGACATTTAACGTGCTTTGAACTTTTGAATTGTGTTTCGTTGAATTTTCTTTACTGTTAAAATAATTGTAAAATACCTAGTTTATATAAGCATTTGTAAATAGGTAACATAAATCAATTAAAACAGATTTCATAAAAGATGGTGTAATTAAAACGTGCTTATGCAATAATAATAAAACAGTATAGTTTAATGTATAAATTAATGATATTTTTTGAAGCCCTTATTAAGTTCCCTCCGTATTTACAAAAGTGAAAAATATAAACCATATTATTAAAAATATCATCCCAATTTAACTGTTAATCAATAAATCTATGATCAATTCCTAGCTTATAAATATTATTATATCTAAAATGATTTATAAAAAATATCTAACACATTTATTATAAATTAATTAATTAAATTTAATACAGGTAATTAGTTGAATAAATCAATATAATATGTTATATGGATCAATAAATTGAGATATAATAATACTTTGAAATATATTATATAATTAATAAGAATACAAGTAATCACTGGCAACAATAAAATATAATATGGAGTATTATCAATTTTACAAAATAATTTTTTTTATTGTTAAATTTAAATAATTTTGATTATAAAATTTACATAATAGATAATAATACATCAACCTAATATTTTAGTGCTTATTAAAAACTATTAAATATTAATGATCAGTTATACCTAATTATTTAGCTTATTTTCCCATAACTGCTTTAAGCAGAATATAGGCATCGAATGATACAAATCATTATTTTATTAAATCGCTTTAACCGTTAAAAAATATAGTGATATTTCAATAGCTTTAGGAAATAATTTTATGTATATCTGCCTTGTAGTACTATTCTGTACCTACTCATGAATCATGTGTAGGATATATAAGAAGACTTGATCTTTTGTTTGATTTTAGTATAATAATAGAAGGTGACAATAAGCACCGAGAAATTTCGGTATTTCAAAACGACTGAGTGGAAATTTCAAGTCAAAATCCGACTGTTGTATATAGTGGCATGTGCAGAAGTACTTAATTGTGCGTTAGTAATCAAATGTGGGTATCTAATTATAGAGCTGAACAAAGGACCAGCGTCTTAAAATATTTCAATAATATTATCGTACAAGTAGGTATATAAGCTGTAATAATTATTGAGATGCGATTTGCGGTCGCGCGTGTTGACATGTTTCCGAGTAATGTAAAAATGGTTGACTACCCGACATTTGCACATGCGGTAACTGCGAATTTGCTTGAAAATTAAACAACAGAGCTATTATAGTAGTGAGAAGGTAAATATTATATGATTATATACACTTATACGTCATATATTTTAAACCTTTTGATTTGGTTTTAATAGCAAAATGACGAAATTTACCATACTAACCTACATTTAAACGTGGTGAAAAAATCGGAATTTTTACTTTTTACTCGCAAAAGTAATTAAAAAATGTTTAAATTGTGCGTAATAGCTACAATTATTTTGCTTTTAAGTGACAATGAAATCAGTTATTTTAATTTTATTTTTCAGCTAGTCTCGGTTAATGACTTAAATATATAATATTGTTATTATTTTATATTTATCTGCATATTATATATTGTCAATAGAATTATTTTTATTCACTTATCATCCATATTTTTATAGCAAAATAATAATATCGGGTTTAATAATAAATGGATATAATGTTAAATGTTTCATAAAAATGTTTGCATTAATGTCGAATCGCATAAAAAAAAAACTGCTAAATATACTCTAACTTACTAATAATTAAAAGTAGAAACGCTAGAAACTAGAAATTGTAAGTAACCGAAAGTTTTTTTAAGTATAAACTTGGGTTTAGTAGGTCCAATTAAATTTACCATAAGATTTTTATTTAACATATTATTTTTTACCGGAATATATTGGAAAAATATTTAATCTTTAGAATTTAAGAAAAAAATTCTAATAATTTTAACTTAAAAGCTTCTTGAGTTAAAAAAATTAAATTAAATATCTAAGAAAATAATTTATTTCGTTTATACATAATGTTAAAACAGTAATCGGACATTAAGGAATATATTAACTATAAGCTTCCATTTGTCGGTCTAAAACTAAAAACGATATATTTTCAACAACTTTGTGCAGTGTAAAAAATTTAGACATTTTTTGAAATTTATAACGCACGCATTCAATTATATATTTTTGAAACCCACAATGGATGATTCTAAATAAAAGATAATAGAAATCATTATAATTAATTTTTTTTTTGAATTGGAATAAGTATAATATTTATTTTAGTTTTAAATAAAAATTGAAAAAAAATGTTTTTATACTTACGATCATGATCGTGAAGTTCTCAAAATGAAGAGATGTAATGTCATAGTACCCCGCGCGAACGAAAAAACAAAATTATATTATTATTATGATATGTATTTGATTTTAAAAATTATATGTTTTATCGTTAATTGGCATTGGCAGTGTAATCATTATACTTTCAATGCCACTTTATGTTATTATTTGATTATTTGATTCGTGAAAAAATCAAATTTACCAATGGGATATTTTAAATATATTAATTTTTTTCATAGAGTTCACTCATTTTTATAATAAAATAAATAACTATATTTTTTGATAATAACATAAAACGATTTATATATTATTATATAATATATTGGTATTGTATGATCAATTTTAATTTATTGGCATGTTAATTTTCAAGAGTATTTAGCTGTTGATCTCAAGTGAAAAATAATATTACGAGTATAATGTAAATTTATTTTTTGTCAAATCATTGGATATTATATTAAAAAATTGAAAATTGAATACAAGATAAGTTATAAAATGTTTTAATAGCTTCCTTAAAAATATTAAAGAAATATAATATATACGATTTTTTGTACAAAATCACTACATTTTGCAAGTAATTTGTAGTTAAAAATGTTAAAAATGTTGAATTTTTATAACTAAAGACTTAAAGTTTAATACATAAAATATCTTAGAGGTACTATATACTGTAACTAGAAAATCTAAAAAATATAATACAAGTATTATTATTATTATTATATTATTGTTTAGAAATTGTTAAAATTTGGACAAAATTAGATGTTTAAACAAAGAATTATTTTTTTTTATTTTTTTGTAATTTAAAGATAGTAGGTATTTGGAACATTTAACCTATATTATTTATTTTAAACATAAAATTATATTTTAAAATACAATATTTTTGGTATAAATTAGTTTAGTTTACCATACCACCATAATAAAAATGTCAATTATAATTAAACAATTATGTTTCTAATATCACTTATTGGTCTAAGTATTTACACCTCTTTGAAAAACTATTAATATCTACATAATTATCATTATTTCAATCTCTTAACATTTAGATTTAATAAACTGGTTAAGTCATGGTATTGGAAAAAGTTTTATAAACCGTGATAACACCTTTTGTAATTCTGCATAAGGCACATATTTGATGTTTACAATATAATTATTTATCCTTCACATAAATTATTAATTAAATTCATTTTTTTTTAAACAAGATAAAATCATACATGGTTTTAATTCGATATAACGTGGTTAATCTCTGTTGAAATTTGTCAATATTTGTAATAGTTCAGTTTAAATTTATATTAGAATTAATTTTACCTGTGTAGAAAATTTCGAATTCAGTTAATTAGCTCAATAAGCGTTTGAGTATTAAGAGGATATTATTTATAAGTTACAACCGCACGTATATTGTCTCCGTCTTACAAACGCTCAACATAGTAACTTTATTTGATTTTAATAAAACAGATATTGTTTTGTTACCTTTATTTTTATAACTAACCTACTTGTTATTGAACTTAAAGGTAAGAAAATTATCTATTATTTCTTGGTTTTTTATGGTTTTATAATTTTTAAACAAGTTATAAGTATGTATAATAATAAAATATAAAAATGCATATAATTTGCTTAAAAATTAAAATATCGTTAAAAATCGATGAGAGATGACGGATAATGTTCATACCTTTAAGTCTAATAATAGGTCAATTTACTTAAAGATTAAAAATAACACCATAGCATCGGTTCTACTGACAGTCAATTTGCCATGATGTATGTTATTTATAAGATAGAGACAACATATACGGGTGTAGTAATATCCTTCTAAATAAATTGTGATTCCGATAACAGTTTTGATGTATACTTGAGTTACACGACTTATTTCGTTATGGATAAATTTCATTAACAAGTGTGTTTAGTCTTCAACTTACATTTACTATAATTAAAAAACCTTTATAATGTTACATTTTCATAATGCTTAAATTTAAATTGTACGTGAATGATAGAATTATTTAATGCAATTTAAATATCATTTTTAAAGCTTCAGGCTTAACAAATGATTAGACTTTATAAATCTATTATTTTTATGATATTATTTTTACATGAATAAAATAGGTATATTATATAATATTATAGTTATTAATTGGAAGCTAATATTAATAAAACAATTTTTAAGAATTCAGTTAAAATTCCAAAATCTTAAAGTTTATACTTTAATTTTTATTCATTTTTGTCTTGATGAAATTTTGAATAAATTACAAGTAAAATAGTTTATCCACTCTATTGAAAAACAGTAAAAAAACTATACTATTTAGCTATATTATGTATATCTACCTCTTAAACGTTAATTATTTAGTAGATAAATGGTGGTTTTTAGGTTGATACCTAAATACAATAGGCAATAATTCTTCCAAGGGAAGGGGAGAGAGTAAATAAAAAGCAATTTCAAGTAGTTACTGAAAAAAAAAAAAATACTGAAAAGTAGAAATATTTAAGTACGTAAAATCAACTTTAATATTTTTTATAATTTGAAGTTAATTTATTAATAATTGTGTAATAATTAAATAATGATATTAATAATTAAATGTTTACTATAAATACTATGGGTGGGTATATTTACAGACATTAGAATTTTTTTTTTTTTTTAAATTTGTCAATAATTGTTTTTTTCTCAACAAAAGAGTTTGGACATTTTATTACACGATTCCTCATAAGCATTTTTATCGCATTTAAAAATTAAAAAATACATTTAATTTATATATTTTTTTTTTATATACATTTTAAGTCCAATATTTATTATTTGACAAAATTGGATATTTTAACGGAAGGTAATAATATTTGTAATGATGATTTTAGTTTTTTTTTATAATTCAAAAAATATTAATTGCAAAGACTTGAAACTAGTTGAAACGTTTTTCCATAACACTTATTGATATTTCCTATACACATTTATTTTAAGATATTTAAACTACAAGTTTACGAATTTGTCACGCTGCTTGGTGTTTACTTATAGATTAATAATCAAAATATTAATATAAAATACAATAATAATAATTTTATAATATTTGCAAATATAAGTTTAATTTGTTGTATAAGTACTACTAATATAGAAAAAAAAATACACCTAATCAATCTCAATATAAATAAATTATAAAATATTTACAAATAGAATTTGATATACGTAGGTATTCATACACCTCTGCTAATAATTGTATTACGTATGCTATTGCATACGTTATAATGAATTCAAATTTAAGACTTATATTTGAAACTTACTTAAGGTTGAGATATTATTATATTTAAAATATCATGAATGAATTATTGTAATTTTTATATTGTGCATGTCTATTAAATGCCCTATATTATTACAATACATATTACATAGTATTTTTTCTTGATACATTGTGTGTTTATGAATTGAACTGAAAATAATCTTGTACTCGTTTTGTTTAATCTACTGGTTTAGTGAAATTAAAATAAATAATATATATATATTTAGAAGTAAATCACATTTTCATTCTCATTTAAACAAATATGAAATATGTTGTACACGAAATGTTTGATTATAATAATTATTTAGAAACATCACGAATTTAAAATTTTTTTTAAAACAAAAGCTATACAATTATTATACGAATAAAGAATTTAGTATTTGTGATGATATTATAATTTATAAATTATGTAACTATAATAAATATAACAACGTGTAAATTACTATTGATGTAGGACATATTAATTTTATCATTATAATTAGTTAACAGTTTCAGGTAACTAATTGATTGTCATATTGATATAAAAGGAATATTTATTTGTATACTAATATATAATCATTGTACATATTATATTAATATATTATGAATAATACGTTATACACCACTAAATAAAACTATTCATTAATATTTAATTAATATTGTTTCGTGCACATTATTTTAATTAATTAAAAATATTTCACGAAAAAAATTTGAAAGCGTGTGTTGATGATAATTATAATATATTTTAAGATAATAACTTTACTCAAACAAACATAAATATACCCAATAATAGTGAAGCTAATAATAATTTTTGTTAAAAATCGGTGATAGTATTAAAAAATAATGTAAGTGTTTCTATTACTTCATATTCGATAAAAAAAAAAAAAATATAAAGCAATAACCTGATAAAGTTATACTGCGTTAACAATAATTTAAAACAGTGCTTATACATCATAATATATTGCATTAGAACAGGTCACCAAATCAACTTATAAGTAATTTTTATTCTATTACATAATATATTATTACGTTTGTATCTAAATTGTTTAGGATATTTTTTTAATCTGCGTAAACATTACGTATATTAATACATACGTATGTAATATCGTCAAAAACATTAATATACCAAATAAGCAAACAAATTATTACTCTTGCAGTATTGCATCACAGGATATTATTATAAAAACCTGACTACTGGTTAAATCACATAGCCATCGATCGAACTTTATTCGGTTGAAAATAAATGCAAAACGAAAACGCCGAAAAAAATATGTACTCGTCGTCATCGTCGGTTCGACGGTATAAACGATACAGCTATTTCAAAAAACAAACAGACAAAATGGAACCGTTCTCACGGCGCGTAGTATTACGTGCAGGTGGTCTCTTATAGTGTCTTCTTACCGGTGGTGGTGATGCCGACGGCGGACGCGGCGACGAAGCCGAAAACTATGCCGACGACCAACGTCAAGCGTGCCATGTTGTCGCGCGGCGTTCGTCGGTGATGCGGTCGGCGCGAAACGACGGCGGTGTGCGTGACGGGTGCTGACTAACCGGTGTACACAACGATCGATCTACAACGACAGTGATTGGCCCATTAACGGTGTACAAAATCATAGTGCTATTTACGGCAAGTGCCCATATTATTGTTATGTACGTCGTACAATATTATATATTAAAAAATGTATATGTGTGTGTGTGTATATACCTATGTGCGGCGGTAGTGTTGCGGCGTCGACGGATGTTGGCGGACAGAAAGTGCGTTTACAATATTATACTTATATTATTGTTACGCGGCGTTCGCCTACAGGTGGTGTCACGTAATTCTCGGTGACCGGTACGTCAGCCGCTCGCCGTTATGCTGTCGTGAATGTCGCGTCTCGTCCGCGGACACGGTGTGATATACTTCCCCGTCGTCGGAGGTCGGTCCGTCTGCGGGAGTTTTTCTCGAGCGCGAGTGTTCGCGGTCGACCTATCCGGTGCGGTGTGTGTGCTGGCGGCGGCGGAGGTTCGGAAAAACGCGCGCGTGCCCGCGGCGCAGGTGAACGAGCGCGGCGTCGCGTGCGTGTCGGCCGTGTATAGCGCGCGAGACGCTGCTGACCAGTCGGCGGCGGCGGCTACGGCGGCGGCGGGGAGGGGGCGGAATACGACCCGAACTCTGGGCGCGGGACGGCGGGGACGACGGCGGCGGCGAAATATCGCGTACGGACGCCCGAGGGTATGGGCCGGCCAAGAGAACGAGAGCCGATGACGACGATCTCGCCGCTTTCCGAGTCGCCGCCCGCGGAAACCTGGTCAGCGGTGTGTACGTGACACGGCTAACCGGCCGCCTGCTGCAGGTACAGTGTACTCGCGCGACAGGGAAACGCGCGTCCCCCGGCTCCCCCCCCCGTCCGAAGAGGTCGGTGCCGCGAAACTCTGACGCGCGTCTCTCGCCCCAGCGGCGTCCCGTCGTCACGATTATAATAACTATTATTATTCGTATTGTTAATAATCGTAGTTAATTAGTCGGTGGCATGTCCTACCGCCGACGCCGCTACCGGTTGGACGTGCGGCAGACCGTGTTTATAGTGTTATTAATATTATTATCATTATTATTAGTATAACACGTAATAATATGCGTAATGTTCCGCCGTTGGCGATATCACAGTCATATAACAGACAAATGGGTATTAAACTGTTTGTCCGTGGTACCTGTTGTGTGTACGCACGGGAGGCGGGGTAATTGAGTTACCTGTTGTGCTGTTGTTGCAGTGGTACACAGGACGTGTTCTCCTGGATCGCGGTAGCTGCGGGATGACGCTGGCGGGGACGCTAGTCGTGAAGCGAACGCCGACGACGGTCGTTACGCGCCGCACAGCGATAATAATATGTTGATAATAATAGCATTCATAATAACGACTACGACGATGACGACGACAAAATAATCGTAAACAAAATAGTATTCAGATTATGATGTGCGGCCCAAGCGTAACTTCGGCCGATGGTCGACGGATTCTCGAGTGAGAATTTAATAGCCATTTATTTCTGAGGGGGAGGGGGAGAGATTGTGCACATAATCATTGGAATTAAGCTCGTCGTAATCGGTTTTGAAAAAAAAAAATGTTCCAGTACATGATAATATAATTATCGACCGGTTTTAAAATTAAAGAATTTTAATAACGCGTTATTTTGAAAACACAAAAGGTAAATAAAGTCCTAAAATTGTCTCCCTGGTATGATTCACATAAATAATTGTGATGCAGCGTAGACTATTCTTTACGTAGTTATTATATAATATAACATAAATAGTGGTTGTTTTGTTGACCTTGTATTTTACTTAGTAAAATGAAAAAGTTTGGTAAACTGATATGGTTAATTTTACGGCAAAAAAGTTTTTAAGCCGAGAAAAACTTATCTCGTAGAGAACTCGTGCGCAGGGACTTAACTCAGAAATTTTATGACAATTTATTTTCTTGGATTATTCTGTCTAATGTAAAAAAAGAAAAATATCAATTTATTAATTATTAATAATGCCAAGATAAGGATAAGCTTTCAATAACGACATATCTCAAAATTTATTTTTTTATGCATAAAAGTTTAGACCTATTAAACAATGATCAAGTTAACTATGTTATTTTTAAAATATCTATTACAAGTAGTATTACATTTTTTTTTTTTTTACAAAATCAAGATAGTCGTTAAGAAAATGGTAACTTTTACATAAAACCAGTTTCAACAGAATCGATTTTGTTAAACAATGATTCAAAAATCAATAACTATAGAAATTTATTTTAAACTTTATTTTTAGACAAAAAATTAATTTGAAATTTAGTATTTTTTTCGATTTATGAATGATGGTATTTTTGTTTCTCATAAGAGGTTTTTACCATTGTCAATAATTGTTGTTTTAGCATTGTATAGACGTAGGTAATAGTTAACAATTTATTAAACCGTTATAGAAAATTTTATGTATATAATTTAAATAAATATATATTATTTTCGATAACATTCATATATTATACAACAGTCAAATATTGCATAAACATCAATATAATTTTAATAGAAGAAATTTAGTTTTTATTACTTATTGTATTACCGAATTTTGAATGACTTGTCGTGTTGTATATGAATTATTAGTTATAACTTATAACTTTTAAGTTTGATATTGCATTGTTGTATAACATTATCATAACCTTTAATCCGACATGTAACTATAATATTTTTATGATAAGTTGAATTTTTATTACCCGAGTTTTAGTCTCGTGATTTTTGCAATCGAGATATTTATGTTTTTATTTTTAAAGGGGGCAAAAAACTGTTTCATAAGTTTCAAAACACAGTTAAAAAAGTATCCGATTCGATTTTTTCGTGACTATTTTATTAGTAGACAAAAATAATACTGGATATTTTTATAAATATTTTTCTAGTTCTGTGACGTAGTAGGTACCTATGTTTTTAAAAAATTCTTTACTTATACTATTTTCTTTGACTGTTGTATTTATTTTATTGTAAGACATAATATATACAGTATACACAATACAAGTAATTTTAATTTTTCTTATTTACAGTTTAAATATGACATATTATGTGTAGGAGAAGAGTGCGGAGAAATTATGTATGTTCATCTAAACAAGTGTATTATATACTTTATAATAATATAATCATTATATTAGCGAGTCCATCTAATCATTGATGCTTACTTACTGGCTACTATAATAGGTACTTAAATTTTTTAATTATTATGTAATCGACATTTTAATTTTATTGTTATAGTTCGCATATTTTATAATGTCTATCTAATCAAGACGTCAAAGTTGTGAATTTGATTATGTATTATCATTAGTTGTGTATTGTTACTGACAATTGACAATTGTGGTGTTAATATTTACCAATTTGTTTTGGTAAAATAAATTTTTATAAATATATTTTTAAAATGTAAGCTTTATATTTTTTAGCCAAAAATAAATATTATAATTTTAAGAAAAATTAAATTTCAAATACGTGCTATCTGACAGTCGGAATTTATATCCTTTAGAATCTATGAAACTCTGAAGTTAAATAAATTATAAAAATTACTTTGTCTAAATAATATTCAATCATTGTGAGTTTTGAATGAGCATCGTATAAAATTCTCAACATACATCATGAAGCAAAATATTTTTTTGATGCATATAAACTAAACTTTTAACGAGGTATTTAAGTATTTAAAGTATTTTTATGAGTGAAGTAGTTTCATAGGAGTACACCGTAAAATGTTGGTCCACTACTCTACTCATCTTAACTTGAAATGCTTATTCACCATTCGTACAATGTATAATTTTATGTATCGACTTTAAAGTATATTATATTTTGTTGCAAGAGTAAGCTATTTCAGTTACGGATGACGTTCAAAGGCAAGGGTCGAATTTTGCCAAAACTGAAATATTAACATCTCACTTAAGTTATAAATACTATTTATTGTTTCATTTTTTTTGGCATTTCATTTTTGTGAAGGTAAACAATTGCTACTATTCAAAACTAATAAATGTGAAAATTTCCAAACATGTCTTAATATTCTTTCATCATTGTGTTAAAAAAATAAAATAAAATAAATAAATAGATATTTTTTCGTTAAAAATCTGACAAAGGCTTAGTAGACAATAATAAGTTATGTGCTGCCTCTTTCAAAGAATCACGTTTGCGCTATTTTTATTATTTTATGTGGATCTATACGTGTAATTTGTGTACTTATCAACATAACGCGAGGTCGTGGTGGCGGTTAACTCTGTGTTCTGATGTTCTACGGAATCATTAAATTTATAAAATAGAGCTATATTGTGTAACTATACCATATAAATAATAACATAGCGTCATCGCATTCGCGTTCGCCTGTCACGCATTATCGTGATAAACTCCATATGTTTTCCCTTATACGAATAATGCAGTTTTACTTAACTTATTTAGTTTCCATAATAATTGTGTCTATAATTTATGTTATTTTTTAATTTTAAACTATAACAATTTAAATCAACAATATTTTATAATTAAAGTAATTTTAACTATGTATCTTTATTTATTTTTCAGATTTTCTAACTGTTTCAAAAGCATAGTGAACTACGTAGTAGGTACAATGTAGTTAACTAACATAACACTTACTAGCTAGTATTTGAAAAATTAGAAAAAAAAAACGTATAAATATGTTTATTTTTTATTTATTAACACACTTTAATCGGATTTAGAAAATAACTTTTTCCTATCGCAGTAGCACTAAAATATATCACTTTGTATTGGATAATTTATGTGTTAATAGCGTATATTTTTATTTTTAGGGGAAATAGTTTTTTTTTTGTTTTTTTTTTTTTTTTTTTTTTTTTTTAAGCAAAGCAAATATAATTGTTTTTTACCTCTTAAAGAAGTTTGCATGTTTTTCAATAATCATTCAAAACATAGTTAAATAATATAAACATTTATTTCATAGTACTAGAAGTTTAAAATAACATTTTTATTTTGCATATTTTATTAATAAGCACATACCTATTTCACATGTTTTATTAAAAAATAAATTAAAAACAATATGTATCATAAAGAATAGTATTTTATACATACTATTTTATAATAATATTTAATAATATTCAACTGGAAAATAATAAATTAAAATAATTAAATATAAATAATCCATCTACCATGTGTTCTGCTATTGATTATATAAACCATTATACCTGCATTTAAATAATCAATGGTTTTCCCAATTATTTGTATATTGTGAAAACACAAAATCAGTCGTCAAAGAATACGCCGAATACGATCAGTTGATGTTAATACGTTTTTTCGTGTGGTATGCGTTAATATAGTGAGTATAATATTTTGAACTAGATACTGTTTTTTTTTCTTTTTGTAAAAATTAAATTAAAAATGACTCAATTAATAATAAATACATTGATAATATTTAATAAAAAAAAAAAAAAATTTTAAGGCCATAAATACATGTAGGTATATTCAATCTTCAAAGTTTTTTAGAACATAAAGTCTCTAGTTCTACTTATAGTTTTGTAAGACGTT